CCCCAAAACCCCAAAACCCCATGAAATCTAAATTCTAGAAATAATGAGGAATACAAATTATTTACTGAGTAATAGGAGGCGACTTTTTAATGAAATTAAGGTTAATATATATATGCTATAATGATTAATGACTTTTAGTTTTTCACTAAAAACCAAAATGTGCAACATTTCATATGTTTGGTTAAAATAGTTTAGAATTTTTCTACTATACTGAAGTGAGTTCATTAGAGTATTCTAATTTTTACTGGACTGTTTAAATTACTCATTTTGCCTCTCTATTCTCTAATTATTTGGGACAAATTTCTTCTATTCTTTAGCTGCTAATCAATACAGTAGATTGATTAAGATAGCCTTGGTGTTTACTCTTCTGTTCTTTCTTCTTCAATATCTTGTAATTTTTAATCTAAATCATTCATGTTTCTAGCAAACATGCACAATTTATCATCCAAATTTTTTTAAGAATTGTTCAAGGAATTAATATTTGTATAATCTTTACATAATTTGTTAAATTTTGCACCATCGTATTAACCAGTTCTTAACTGAGTTTGATCAATTTGTTCTTCTTTGATATATGATTAATTTAAACCATCCAAGTAAGCCTGCTATCCTGTGCAGCAATTAAGGTTTGTTGATTTAAGCATAAATCCACTATTTATAGCATTAAAAGAGTAAATTTCTCTAATTTTTGATGAATTTTTTAGTTTTATTTTAAGTAATTTATCGAGAATGTATTATTTCTTTTCGTGGAACCATATATGCTAAAAGAGGTTTTAATAAAAAAATAACTTACTTAGAGACACTTCTCAGCTGATGGTCGCATATTTTAGTTTCTGCCTAGCATTAACTTCATTAACTCTATACATTCTTGTGAAACTTCTAATTTTTGCTTATCAATTAAATCTGAAGGGTAGGCATATTGATTCTAAAGAATGAGTTTCTGAAGAGTTTAAGCAGGAAATATATATTTTTTAGCAATGAGAGCAAACATGATGCATCCCAGACTGAAAATATCACTGTTTAAATCAAATGATTAATCTCTAAGTATTTCTGGTGCCATAAACCCTGGAGATCCACATTTTTTGTTTTTATTGGTATAATCATTATTCAAGCAGGCTAGTCCTAGATCAGTCACTGAAACCTTAAGTGAATCACTATTTATTAAGAGAATATTTTCTGGTTTCAAATCTCGATGAATAATATTCTCACTATGCATTATATATGTGGATAATAAGAGTTGTGACATTATGTTTTTGATTTAAGACTCAGTCAAAGGCTTTTCTTGGCAAATCAGATGAGATAAGTCCCCATTCTTAAAGTAATCCATAACCAAATATATTTTGTCCTATTCTTATAAAACTAAATGCAACCGACAGAAAAATTCGTCATCTATAATTTGCAATTTCCTTATAAATTTGACTTCTGTTTTAATCTACTTGAGTTGTTATTGATTTTGAATGTCATACTGCTTGATTGCATATATATTTTTGTTACTTTCATCAATTGATTTAGCTTGATAGACAGAAGCCTGAGATCCTTCACTTATAAACTGAGAAATTATGAAGTAATTTTCTAACCTCCCAAAAATAATACAATTAATCTTTAACTTATTACTAAATGCTTCATCATAGCTAGAGCTGACATAAATGCTAATTGAGTCTGTAGATTGCTAATTGGCACTCGTAAAAAGCTTGAACTTTGTGAGATTTTATGCAAAATTACTTTTGGTGAAGCAAAGGTTGGACAGAGAAAGGGTAAAGTATGTCTGCAATTATTCTCTCTGATCATGATTTCTAAAGATTAAGCTATCATAAAGAAACCCGATTTGATTCACATCAACAATTAATCTTCCATTTCCTTAGCCAATCTCTTTGGACTGTATGTAAACTTAAGCGTCGATATATTCCAAAGTATTTAAAGAATCGGCCTCTTGCTGCAAAAAATGTTCGTCAATCTATTGAAATTTTCCTAACATTGAGTACTTGTTCAAATAATAAATTTTTATAGACTTCTATTAATAAATCTCTAATGAGTATTTATCTCAACCAGTTATAAAAATTAATTAATATTTTTCACTAATCAAATAACTATATTAATCAAAAAATAATTGAAATTGATTCTAACATGGGGTTTTGGGGTTTTGGGG